AGATAGATAGATAGATAGATAGATAGATAGATAGATAGATAGATAGATAGATAGATAGAGAGGCAGGCAGGCAGGCAGAGACACCAAACTTTATTTCAGTTAGAAATACTGAGAAAGTATTTGGTGTGCTCTCTTTTGTCGTTTACAGTCTCTGAAAATTAACCTTATTTCAATTTTTGTTTTGTTGAGAACAGTTGAGGGAAAGTGATGGAGAGGGAGATATTAGAGACTGGGCAGTCTATGGCTTACTTTTTAATTATGTTTTAATTAGTCTGCTTTTAGTTACTTATATTTTTTTAAACATAAAATCCGTTCCCCCCCCCTCCCCCATCTCCCTTGTATGTAACAAAAGCCTCTTTTTTTCATCCGTTTGAGCTTCGGTGGCAGGATATAAACTAAGTCCTCTTATCCTTTTTATAAATGGCATAAAGTTTGCGCTGCAAATGTTTTGGAAAGTCACACAAGCCATCCTTTGAGATCTGTCTTCCTTTTCGATTGATTCTTCACCAATCTGACTAGGGGGAAAATGTAACCAGCAGCTAAAGAAACAATTCTGTATCGAATTGGGTTATTCTAAATTTTATTTCATTTTATTTTTTAAAAAGACAACATTGGTTGCAAAGAACAGGGAATGCCTTGATCTTTTAACAGGCAAATGGGGAGTGGGGGGAAGGAAAAAACCTGGCTACCAAATTCCACATTTACAGAGCCTAAAGGCTTCGGATGGTTTTTAAATTGTTTAGTCCACGCCTGGATTGGCCGGTTTGAAGCCAGCAATTGAGGCAACCATGAAGAAGATTCTTTTCTATGCCATGTCCAGTCCTTTGGGAGAATTGAATGGAGCCAAAGGTCAAACTGGCCGGAGGCATTTGGATTGTCATGGTAACCAGGACTTAATCAAACAATCCTGAGATTCCAGGTTTGTGGGAACAGTCAGAGATCTGAAGGGACTGGAATTAATCAATCAAAGTGGAGGAGGGAAGGGGAGAGGGGGGAACCCCCCCCTTAAGATATATGACTTTCTCCTTCCAAATCTATTCCCCTCCTTTTAAACACAACAAGAGTTTGATGGAGAACAAATGTCCTTTTTCGGGCCAGATATCTCTGGTTTTGGCCGCCTGGCCGGTCACATCAGAAGTCTTAACATAACTTTGTTTGTTCCATGCAAAGATGCCATGGTAGTTTGTGATGGAGAAGGGAAGGGAGGAAGGGAGGAGGAAAAAAGAAGGGGAGAGCAATTTGGAGTCCACCGAATTCTGTCTAACCGTAAAATTTTGGGCAGCTCAAATGCAGAACATGGGAAAGCTACAGGATCTCAAAATGTAGTTAGTTGCCTCTGTTTTGGGGAATAATATTGTTTGAACCCTGGCTCAGGTAAATTAATTTCCTTCCTTCCCTCCTTTCCTCCTTCCCTCTTTATCTCTTTTCCTTCCTTCCTTCCTTCCTTCCTTCCTTCCTTCTTTATCCTTTTCCCTTCCTTCCTCTCTTCCTTTATCTCTTTCCCTTCTTTCCTTTTAAGTCTCCCTCCCTTCCTTTTATCCTCCCTTCTCTCTTTACTTCTTTCCCTTTGTTTTTATCCCTCTTTCTTCTGTGTTTATCTCCTTTCTTTCTTCTTTCCTCCCTTTCCCTCCCTCCCTCCTTTTATCTCTTTACCTTCTTTCCTTCTTATCTTCCCTCCTTTCCTTTTGTTCTCCCTTCTCTCTTTACTTCGTTCCCTTTGTTCTTATCCCTCCCTTTGTCCCTGATTATCTCCTCCCTCCCCTTCCTTCCTTTCTTTTTTCTTTCTTTCTTCCTTCTTTCCTTCCTTCNTTTTGACGAGCGCGGTTTTGTCGTGCCACCGGGGGGGGGGATTCGTGTGCGCATGCACAGGTGGGCGGGCACGTGTGCATACGCAATAGCAAACGCACACACAATTTTGGCACACCTTTAGAAAAAGGTTAGCCATCACTGCTATAAGAGATCATAAGAAGTCACTTACCACATGTTGGTATATCTTCTTCAGCAGATGAGGTCTGTTCATCCGTAGATGGCTTTTTTTTCCCTAGCCCAATTATCTTTGTTATCTTCTTCCCTGTTACTTTAGGAACAGTGCCTTTGGAGTCCACCTTTGAGCTCTTTTTCCTCTTTACTATCAACCAAACACATACACACAGATAGCTAAGTCTTCTAAGATTTTAAAAGAGACTTTTATCAAATAGCAGAAGCTGGCACAAAAAATATTTTACCAAGCAGAAGCAGCTGAGTTGCCTTTACTGAAAATCAGTTCAGAACCCCAAATTCATTGTCTCATTCATGACAAATCACTGATGGCACGTCACTTTTTAAAAAAATCTTAAACTTAAACTTGAACTCTTAGTTTGGATGTCACTTTTAGAATCTGGCACAGGTAATATACATTATCCCAGCACTCATACACTATAGCTCTTCAACAATGTTGAAGAACTGCGGGACATAACATTAAAGGTAGATTCCCTACATGTAATATACCAGATCCTTCTTTGTGAGCAAAGTTGGTCTCTACTTACTTATATTTTCAAGCAGCAAATATTTCCAGTATTAATTAAAAGTGATCTGTTAGGTTTTCCTATTGTATATTCTCCCAAGTTTGCAATTTGTTTTCTAAATAAAGGGCTTAATTCAATTGAGCCTTTCAATTTTCATATATTACCATATCTACTCTCAGTATGAGTCCCAGCCATGGCAACTGGTGGTGGAATGGGAGTGATGTAGGAGACGCCCTGCTGGCTGCGGCCGCCACCAGATGAGATGGGGAAGGGGCTGTTCCAGCCACAGCCACTGCCTCATGCTGCCAGCATCAGGACAACCTAGTTTTATCTAAATGGATTGTCAATCTACAAACAAAACTAATCAATTTAAATTAGAATAGATTCATCATAAGCTTTCCTATTTAAAATATTCAAACATGTGAAAGAAAAGCAAGTTAGGTAAATGCAAAATTTGTACGCACATTTAACCCAACAATTATTAGCAGTTGTTTATGATAACCTGGCTTCCTGCACATTTGCACTTGATATTCTTAATTATATCAACTACACATTTTGACTTAAAGTCCTTTTTGTTTTAGAAACAAAGGCTCAGTAGTGAATTGGATGCAAAACTGGCTAGCCAACTATCCATTTCGCAAGTCACCTATACATTGAGCAAACTTAAACTGATTACATTCGCAATATACACTAACCAGTCAGAGCACCATCTGGGCAATCCTTGCAATATTTATTTTATTTATTTATTTATTTATTAAATATATTTATATGCCGCCCAATCCCGAAGGACTCCGGGCGGCTTACAAAAAATATAAGAAAAAACACATAA